TACTTTCAAATCTCTACATAATGCTGCTCCCACCTATCTATCCTCCCTAACACAGAAGTATGTCCCGTCTAGGCCCTTACACTCTGCTGAAGACGTACGTCTATCTTCTGTCCGTACTCCCACCTCTGATGCTCGCCTTCAAGACTTCTCGAGGGCTGCGCCGTTCCTGTGGAACTCACTTCCCTCCTCCGTTAGATGCTCACCCAGTCTCCACTCCTTCAAAAAATCATTAAAAACCCATTTCTTCATAAAAGCATATTAATTAAACTGTTAATAGCTCCCGACTGATTCCTCTCTTGCAACTGTCATTAGTCTAATACTATCCTTACCTTTTGTGTCATTTTACCCCACTCCCTCTAGCATGTAAGCTCATGAGCAAGGCCCTCAACCCCTCTGTTCCTGTGTGTCCAACTTGTCTGGTTACAACCACCCATTGTAAAGCGCTGCGGAATTTGTTGGCGCTATATAAATAATAACATAATAATAATAATATTAAACAATTGATTCAAGGAAACAATATTAAAACCTTCCCCCAACTCCAAGATTAATTCTTCTTATTAAACCAAGAATTATTTACCTACCTAAGACTCAACATTTTTACAAATATCTATGTTCTGATACCCTCTTTGGCTCATGATTCCCCTTTATTAGGATTATTTATTTATTTATTTATTTATAAAATATTTTACCAGGAAAGATACATTGAGATTTCTCTCGTTTTCAAGTATGTCCTGGGTCCACAAATCATTGCATTGTTACATTAGGTACAACAAAATACAAAAACAATATTAATACACAATATATACAAAATTTAACATAGAACAGGCAGGAAATATATAATCAACCATGACACGTGCATTCTGTTTTGAGGTATGTAGAGAGGGATCTCTTAAAAGACTTTAGGCTTAGGGAAGATTTTAAATTGTGCGGGAGGTCGTTCCACAATTGCGGCGCTCTGTAGGAGAAGGAGGATCGGGCCGCTTTCTTTTTGTATTGAGGTAGACTAAGTAAAGTGCTTGTACTGGATCGGAGGTTATAGAAAGTGGGAACAGCTGGGGAAAGCATTTTGTTCAGGTAGGGTGTGAGTTTCCCAGAAAAGCTCTTAAAAACAAGGCTGGAAAGATGAAGGGTGCGTCTGGATTCCAGCGACAGCCAGTTTAGTTCCTTTAGCATGTCACAATGATGGGTCCTGTAATTACATTGTAGCACAAATCTGCAGAACGAGTTATACAATGTGTTGAGTTTATTAATGTGGGATTGCGATGCAGACGCATATACTACATCCCCATAATCAATGATTGGCATCAGCATTTGCTGTACAATCTTTTCCTTTACTGTAGGGCTTAGGCAGGCTTTGTTTCTGTACAGGGCACCTAATTTTGGATAAAGTTTAGATGCAAGCTTTTCTATGTGCAGGCTAAAAGATAGATTGGGGTCTAATATCATACCCAAGTATTTGAAAGAGTGGACTGCGGTCAGTGTGCCATTTGAATTTGTTTTGATGGATAGGTGGGGATTGTGTAATTTGTGTAATTTAGGTACCGTTCCAAAGATCATTGTGACAGTTTTGTCAGTGTTCAGGAAGAGTTTGTTTTTTGCGATCCACTTTTCTACCTCTGATAAGGATATCAAAGGCCCATCTCCAAAGCCATAGAATGTATAAGAGCAAGCTTCCCAATCCCTGTCTCTTCAGCAATATCAAAATGGGAAAAATAATTAGGTTGTCATGTTGACAAGGATAGTTGGTATATGGCTCTTTACCATGTCACCAAAAATATAAGTTGTTTAAATTATGTAGAAACATTCTACAAAGTTAACAATAGGTGGTACTACGTCCCAGATAGGTTGCATAAGATTTATCCGACGTATTCTGAGGTCTGTTGGAGATGTAATCTAGAGGTTGGTACATATGAGCATATCTGGTGGAGTTGTCAGGATGTAAAAATAATATGGAATTGGATATTCACATTATTAGAATATATGGTAATTAAACTTTTTAAATATCCAACTGTAGCTTTGCTACATCTTGACTGGCCCATTCTGGAACAACTAGACTAATGCATAATTATCCATTGTTTTATTGAAATTAAAGTACTGATTGCCGGTTCATGGAAAGACTCATTAGTCTTTCCATGGGCACATATAAAAAACAAATTATATTACAAGTGAACATGGAGAAGAAATATACCTATATAACTTAAATAATAAGCTAGAAAAATGGTCTTGATATATAGGACAATGGTCCCCACTCCCCTGAGTACATAACCAAAAATAATTTTAAATTATTAATTTCACTGAAAATCAAATAAGTATATCTGACATGGTAATCTGTGAGCTCTGACCAACTTTTTGTTTGTTTTCTTTGTTTGTAACTGATATTGGTATAATGCATACAATATGAAATATTGATTCTTCTATTCTTATTAGTAGAAATGTGAATTGTCATTGGAGTGTATGTGTCACGACAGTGACCCCAACACACAGAAAGTAATACAGAAAGAGACGTGTTACCGGACCTTAGAATGGCCGGGTTTAAACGTCAAAGAGTAGTCTGAGAATAGCCGAAAGTCAGGGAGTACAGAAGACAGATAAACGGAAATACAAGCCGAAGTCAGGATACCATAGTGTAGAATAGTCAGATGAAAAGCCAAAGTCAATATACCAGAATACAACACAGAATCTCAAGAGCACTAAAGGGAACTAACTAGAACCACAGTAGGGAGCTGACTAACTGTAAAAGGCACCCTTTTATAGTGTAGTGTCTTTCATTTTAAATCCACACCCTATTGATCTGACCTCGGCACGAATTCGCCACATTATAAAAAGGGGCGTTTTCAGAGCGGCCAGCGTCAGAAGGACTGTGCCACCTCCCGGAAGTATGAGGAGAGGAAGCCGTGCCGCGCAGGTCCGAGTGGAATAGGTAAGGTATCGTCACAGTACCCCCCTCGAGAACCGCCCATAGGGCGGGAAGGACCCGGCCTACCAGAAAGACGACTGCGAAACGCCCGAACTAGACGAGGAGCATGGACATCTGAGGCATCAACCCATGACCTTTCCTTGGGACCATATCCCTTCCAATCAAGAAGATATTGGAGTTTACCTCTGGAAACACGGGAGTCTAGAATCGATTTTACTTCGTATTCGTTCTGAACTTCTAGGGGTACTGCAGGTGGTTTGGAATGGCTTCGAGTATAACGGTTACATACCAAGGGTTTAAGAAGCGACACGTGAAAGGTGTTAGGTATTCTCATTGAGGCCGGCAAGAGCAACCTGTAACAGACTGGATTAACCCGATTTAGTATCTTAAAAGGGCCAATATAACGGGGAGCAAATTTCATTGAAGGAACCTTCAGTCTAATGTTACGAGTGCTCAACAAGACCTTGTCTCCTGCAAAATAAGCAGGCGCAGCTCTGCGATGTCTATCCACATTACGTTTTTGTACCTCAGCCCTTTGTACCAATATTTATTTAACTCCTAACCAAGTTTCCTGGATACTATTGATAGTGCTGTCTACACTTGGTACCCCAGTGGAAGAAAGGGAACTCGGAAGAGTTATAGGGTCAAAGCCATAATTGATAAAAAAAAAAAAAAGGGACTGTGTTGCGTAGACTCGTGAACTAGGTTGCTGTGGGCAAATTCAGCCCAAGGAAGTAAATCTACCCAATCATCTTGATGATCGGAAATAAAACAATGTATTTATTGTTCCAATGATTGATTCATCCTTTCTGTGATGCCATTAGATTGAGGATTATAGGAAGAAAAAAGATTCAGGTGAATACCCAATTGGTTACAAAATGCTCTCCAGAACCGAGAGACAAATTGTTAGCCTCTATCTGAAGTGATGTCGTTAGGAATCCCATGTAATTGAACTACCTCTTTTATAAATACTGTAGCCAACTCAGAAGAAGACGGCAGTTTGCTAAAAGGGACCAGATGTGTCATTTTAGAAAATCTATCGATAATAGTGAGTATGACACAATGGTTTCTTGAAGGCGGAAGGTCCAGTTTTTTGGAAATGGTTAATGGCTTGAGAAGGCCACAAGGACGATTTTTTGGTAGTTTAGTGGAAGAACAGTGTAACGGACCGTTTCAGCACACAAGGGGTTAAAACCGTTTAGGCGATCGTCCACTTTCAGAGATACAGGCACAGCTACTGCAGAACACCAAACTCCCGAATAGGATACCAAGTAGCACTCCAAATTCCAGAACTGGAACCTCACGAATAGCTGCTAGCAGCTGAACAGGAAAAGCACCCAAGCAGCTTACACTCCTGGCAATCAGTCTCTAACAGCATACAGTAAATCTCCCCAAGAACGAGACAAAGCTCCGTGTTGAGGGTCAAGCAGTGAACAGACAGAGCTGTGGGTTTATTGTGCTTATGTACACATTCTTACACATTAGTACCACCCACAGGGTTTTGGAACACAACCAGGGCCGGTGCAAGGATTTTTGCCGCCCTAGGCAAAAGTAAAGTTTGACGCCCCCCTCCTCCCCCCGTGACATCGCAATGCCCCACCCATATGACCTGCCATGTTAACTAACGCTAGTGCTGCAGTGCCGCTGTGTTTACATTTAAAGGCCTGCAGGGACAGGCTATAGACACCAGGACCACTACATTAAGGTGCAGTGGTTCTGGGGACTATAGTGTTTCTTTAATGTGAGGTAAATTAGAGATTAGTGCCACGAATAATATACTAGATTACCTACTTACAAGCAGATGAGGATGATGATGGGCTCTAGCTGCAGTCTGGCTCCACTGGTCTGGTGTATAACAGGATCTCTGGAGGCTGTTTGTAACTGTGGTCACACAAATCAATGTTCTGGGAGAACGAGAAGCAGCTCCATTTTTTGGGGGCCCTTTACACAGCTCAAGGTCTGGGTCCCAGGGTCCACCTTCATTTTCCACCAATGAGTTTGTTCACAGGGGATGGAGTGTGTAGGGAATGTCCTGATTTGTGTGTAAGGAATGCATTTTGTGAATCTGTGTTTGTATGTGTAAGGGCTGCAAGGTGTGTTTCTGTGTATGTAAGGGATGAAGTGTGTGAGTCTGTAAGGGGTGCATTGAGTGTGTGTAAGGAATGCATTGTGTGTTTCTGTGTGTGCAAGGGATGCATTGTGTGTAAGGGTTGCATTGCGTGTGTGTGTAATGCATTGTGTGTGTAATGCATTGTGTGTTTTTCTGTGTGCAAGGGGTTCATTGTCTTTGTGTGTAAGGGGTGCATTGTGTGTGATTGTGTGTGTGTGTGTGTGATGGATGTCAATCTCTCCCCCCTCCCTTGTCACTCTCTTCTCCCCCCCTCCCTTGTTACTCTCATTCCCCCTCCCTCCCCTGTCACTCCCCCCTCCCTGTCAATTTCTCTCTCCCCGTCAATTCCCCTCCCTGTCAATGTCTCCCCCCGTTAGTTTCTTCCCCCCCCACCTCCCTGTTAGTTTCTTTCTCCCCCCTCCCCTGTCAGTTTCTTTCCTCCCCCCTCCCCTCCCCTCCCTGTTTCTTTCTTCCCCCTCCCTGTTTCTTTCTTCCCCCTCCTTCCCTGTTTCCTTCTCCCCCTCCCTGTTTCCTTCTCCCCCCTCCCTCCCTCTTTTTCCCCCTCCCTCCGTTTCCTTCTCCCCCCTCCCTCCTTCCCTGTTTCCTTCTCCCCCTCCCTCCCTGTTTCCTTCTCCCCCTCACTCCCTCTTTCTTTCCCCTCCCTCCCTCCCTGTTTCTTTCTTCCCCCTCCCTCTGTTTCCTTCTCCCCTCCCTCCTGTTTCCTTCTCCCCTCCTCCCTGTTTCTTTCTCCCCCCCTCCTCCCTCCTTTGTTTCTTTCTCCCCCCTCCCTCCCTGTTTCCTTCTCCCCCCTCCCTCCCTGTTTCTTTCTCCCCCTCCCTCCCTCTGTTTCTTTCTTCTCCCCCTCCCTCTTTTTCTTCTCCCCCTCCCTCTCTCTCTGTTTCTTTCTTCTCCCCTCCCTCCTTCTCTGTTTCTTTCTTCTCTCCCTCCCTCCCTCTCTGTTTCTTTCTTCTTCCCCCTCCCTCCCTGTTTCTTTCTTCTCCCCCTCC